TACTAATGGGATTCCTCATGTCCATATGGCTATGAATTGTTTGAGATCAGTTATGGGATTCCTCATGATATATATATACAATAGTGTCAAAGGAAGGAAATATTAAAACAGAAGCATGGGGGGTTTTAATGTTATAATAGTCTAATCTGGTCATAAAAGTATTATGAACCCTTCATAACGTTTAAAAGTGCATTTGGAAAACGGTGAAGTGAAAAATATTTCTTCTAACGCTAGCTGACACTTATATAGAATATTTTGAGATTGAGAAACTGAACTTTATTTCTGAGACAATTTAAGAGCCCCCATTTCCTTTCTATTCTACTTTCTAAGATCCAATTGGATCTCAACTTTTTTAAGCATAAGTTTTTTTGTTTGCTATTCTCTTTTTCAACTGCTTTTTGTTTACAGTTCTTTTGTGATGCAATGATTTTCTCTAATAATTATCTTTGTAAAGTTTCATTATGTTTGAAATTGATGACTTTGCATTTCGATTATTGCAGCAAAGATGTCAATACAGTGAAGAAACTTGTAGATGATTGTCTGTCCTCTCAATTATCTTCCTCCCTTCGTCCTCATGATGCAGTTTCAGCCCTGGGTCCTATGTATGATGTCCATGACAAAAATCATCTGCCAAGGATGTTGGCTTGTGAACATGCAATATCAAAGCTGCTCGACTTTTGCAAGGATAAGAAGAATGAAATGAACTTGTTTGTTCACACGTATATGCAAAAGACTACATATGTTACATACCACATCAAGGACGTCAAACTGCAGTTTCCTGTTTTCAAAGAGGCAATGGTGCGCCAGGAGGATCTATTTATGGACCTTAAGTTAATCCGTGGAATTGGTTCTGCATATAGAGCATGTCTTGCTGAAATAATAAGAAGAAAGGCATCTATGAAGCTTTACATGGGCATGGCTGGTCAGCTGGCTGAAAGGCTTGCAACAAAGAGAGAAGCTGAGGTCAGGAGACGGGAGGAATTTCTGAAAGCACATGGTTTGTACATACCCAAGGATGTATTGGCTTCCATGGGGTTATATGATACCCCTAACCAGTGTGATGTCAATATAGCTCCTTTTGACAATGCATTGCTCGATATTGATATTCCTGACCTGGACCATTATGCTCCCGAGTATTTAGTAGGACTGCCTAGCAAATCTGCTAGCTTAAGAGGTTCAAGTTCCTTGTCGAATGAGAGTTCTCATTCTGGTGATACTGAAGAGATCGGTGTAGATACTCTGGGAAAAGATGATCCCATGACTTCCTTGAGGGATCTGAATTGGTTGAGATTGCCGGAACTAGCAAGATGGAAGTTGAGAATGCAAAACTAAAAGCTGAACTTGCCACTGCAATTGCCCTGATTTGTTCTCTGGGTCCTGAATTTGAATATGAATCACTTGATGATAGTAAAGTCAATACTTTATTGAAAAATTCTGCGGAAAAGACTGCTGAAGCCTTGCATTTAAAAGATGAGTACGAAAAACATCTCCAACAAATGCTTAAGGAAAAACAAATGCAGTGTGTTTCATTGAAAAGCGCATTCAGGAACTTGAGCAGAGATTGTCTGATCGGTATTCACAGGGGCCAAAGCTTTCTATAACTAATAATGCCACCGACTTTGGCCTTAAGGGTCAAAGGAATGATTGCAAGCCCGAAATCTCAGGTTGTGGGGTGAATGTGCCTCGTGTAACTACATCTGAGCCTATGGATGAGGTTTCTTGCATTTCGAATTCTTTGGATGCAAAGCTTGGACAGTCAGGAAGACAGACGAGGAAAGGTCGAGAAGGGGTTGACGAAAATATGATGGAGTCATCTGGAATGCTCAACCCTCATTTGGATTCATCGATGCAAGAGCCACAACAAGAAGATCTGCAAGTTGGAGTGAAAGATGGAAAAGATAGGATGGTGGGACAGTCTGGCATGTCTCTCACTAACAGTTCTACTGCTGAAAGCATGCCTGAGCCTCTGAATGCTTTGCCTTGTGAGACAGCAGCTGAGCTAGGTTTAGACTCAAAAGTTGGTGGGGATCTTGTGTTGGAGTTACAAAGTGCTCTTGCAGATAAGTTGAACCAATTAAGTGAAACTGAAGCAAAGTTTAAGGATGCTTTGAATGAGATGTCCATGCTTAGGAGTGAGATGGAAACAAATCGTAAACTTCTTGATGAATCTCAGGTAGTAGCAGCAAATTCCTTCCCTCTATTTTCATCTTTTAAAGCAGTCATGTTAACTTTAATATGGATATTTCTAGAATTCCCCTCACATGTTATGAACTACGTTATTTGAATTCATATACCTTTCTTAGTGCACCAAGTTACCTTGAACATTATGTGAAAGTGGGACAAAAATTGATACCACTTTCTGGGTTATCTATCTCCAATTGGCATTATAACATGCATGTGGAAGTCGAATGCATCATGTTGCCTATTATTTACTTCAGTACCTTTTACTTCATTTTTTCTTAGTCTAGGGTGTCCTACCATGTATACATGCTGGGCTAGATGTACAAGTAAATTGTTTTTGTAATTGTACTGGCCTAGTGGCACCCACAATTTGGGTGAAAGGAGAGGCAGAACTGGATCTGGATCATTCTAGACAAAACAATGTTTCAGGTGTAAACATAAATTGTTAAAAGCAAGAGAAACCCAATAAATTGTTGGTTGGACTAGGTGGCAAAGTTGGATGACTGACGAAGAGGTTACTGGTGAACTCAAGGATCCTTCATATATTATTTTATTTGGAATATAGTTTTCACTAATGAAATTTGATTGGAGGGGATGTAGAAGGAAAGTCTAACCTGTGTTTTTGTCATTATGGTGTAAATTCAGCTATTTGGTCAAACTTCTTTGCTATATTCTAATTTTCCCTCCCCGGTTTCAGATGAACTGTGCTCACTTGGAGAATTGTTTGCATGAAGCAAGAGAGGAAGCCCAAAGCCATCGTTGTGCTTCTGATCGGAGGGCCTCAGAATATAGTGCCCTCCGTGCATCGGCTGTTAAGATGCGTGGTCTTTTTGAAAGGCTACGGAACTGTGTCTACACTCCTGGTGGGATGGCCGGCTTTGCTGATTCTTTGCGTACTTTGTCTCTGTCTTTAGCCAAGTAAGTTATAGTGCTTTTGAGGTTTGCACAGTAGTTATATTCTATCCAGTTTCCTTTATCCACTGATTGGCCATTTTTAGGGGCAAAAGAGTGGCAGGGTCAGGGCTGGAATAAAAGGAACATAATTTTGTTCTCAATTTTATAAATTAAGTAAGAGAGCTTAAAATTTTATACTTTTGTTCAAACTCATTGCTATTATCATTTTCCTGGGGAAATATAGAAACATCTGCTTTCTATTTCCTTTGGAGTTTAAAGGGTGATACATAAACATAATTATCTTCTTCTCTTCCTTTTATTTTTCTTCTTTCTCCTTGTTTTACTTTATTTTGTTTTAAACTTCTTTGATTGGAAGTATAATGACAATTGTCATCTGTGCTATTAAATTTTCAGCTCCCTTAATGATGGTGAAGATGATGGCTCTGCTGAGTTCCGCAAATGTATCCGGGTCCTTGCTGAAAAAGTTGGTTTCTTGTCTAAGCATCGTGAAGAGCTGCATGAGAAGTACACTAATGTTGAAGGTGTAAATGAACAGCTTAGGAAGGAATTGGAAGAGAAAAATGAGCTGGTTAAAACTCTGTTCACTAAGCATCAACTTGAGAAGCAGGTAACAGGGTCACTGTTCTCAACTTATCAAACAATGGGTGAATGTGACTTGTTTAATATATATATATATGCTTAAACCATGAAAAGCAACTTCTATAGGCATTTGTTCCTGCAGAGTTGTTAACCATGTATTATGTCTAGCAAGCTGATGTAGAATAAATAGTTTGCCCGTCTGTGTTTATGTAATTTATGTTTATTTCTTTATCTGTTTATCTGACTGGTTCGAAATTCTTGCTTCAGGCAAACAAGGAAAAGATATCTTTTAGCCGCTTGCAAGTCCATGAGATTGCTGCATTTATTCTAAATTCATCCGGGCATTACGAGGCCATAACCCGAAACTGCTCCAACTACTACTTGTCTGCTGAATCGGTGGCCTTGTTTACTGATCATCTCCCAAGCCAGCCAAGCTACATTGTCGGGCAGATTGTGCACATTGAGCGTCAGACGGTGAAGCCTTCATCAAGTGGACCTGATCGTGGCAGGGCAGATCCTGCGGATCAACTAACTTCTAACACAGGGACAGAGAGGTTAACCCTGAATTCAGGATCATCAAGTATGAACCCCTATGGTCTCCCAACCGGATGTGAATACTTCGTAGTGACAGTAGCCATGTTACCCGATACCGCCATTCATTCACCACCTCCTTCCTGATCCCTGCCCTTAAAGCGCAGATTCCGACATGATGGAAGAACCCAAAATGTACATACATTATAAAATATTTCAGAATATAAGCGCCATCAGGGTGGAAGTTGAACTAGATTTTCTTATTGTACAGCCAACGTTAATCTCTCCTTTGTTCATAAAGCTACTCTTTCCAGGAATGTCAAAGCAAAAAAAAAAAAAAAAAGTGGGAAAAAACTCTAAATATTTCCGAACATTTGCCCTTTATGTTTAACCAAGTCTCTCATGTCGTTGATCTCTAAAATGTTGTTTAGAACCCAAAGACTGTTTTATTGCAAATCTCAAACAAAGAAGATATGGAGAGAAAAAATGAAATCATATCGAGTTATTATGGATCATTCAAAATTACGGCCGCTATAGAAATTGTTTTACATGTCGATGACTTGTATGCTAAAGTGAGTAATTTCAGGTAGCTTCTGGCCAACCACAACTACGTTTGACAGTTTTTTAATCCCAACATCAAAGAGAAGATGAGCTAATAAAACATTTCAAACGACTTAATGCTTTCCTTTCCAACCATATACCACCAGCAATCAACAACCTGAGAGACCAGGTTCCCTGCTTCCAGGCTACATAAAACCCCCCACATGACTTGTTTTCCTCGCTCAAACTCTCAAACCATTAGACGGTCGGACAGACAGAACAAGCTTTCATTTTCTGTGCAGGGTTCCAAAGCTCCAGAAATGGCCTCTACCAATTGTTCTTTTTTAGCCATTATCATGGCTTTGTCGTTGTCAAATATCATTGTCGGGGTTGCAGCTCGTCGTCTCCTCCAGATGCCACCGACATTGCCTGGTGTAGTGCTGCCACCCCTGCCGTCTATCCCCAACCTCCCACAACCGACATTTCCGACAATGCAGCCATCGTTACCCAATCCGAGAGCTCTTCCTCCACTTCCTAGCATGCCGACATTGCCGACAACACAGCCATCATTACCCAAGCCTGGAGCTCTACCTCCACTTCCAAGCATGCCGACATTGCCTACCCTACCAAAACTAGCAATGCCACCGATCCCCACTATACCAACTACCCTCCCATTCTTCTCCCCACCTCCTTCAAAAACTAGCCCTTGATGATGCTCAGTCATACTATGTGTCTTTGCTTTGTCGCGGTCGTGTTCCTCTAAACATTAATCTCGTATCACCGAGGGATTCATAGAGCGTTTTTAGCCATTTGTTTCATTCCGATTCCATTACGTAAAGGGTTTTATTTGTTTGGGTTTGACGAGGTTGCTGTATTTCTAGTGTGTTGTTATTGTATCAGTATGATCACAAATCACTTTGATTTTAATGTATCAAATACTACAATAACAATATATCGATAATTTCCACTTGGATCTATTTTATCTTTGCATAGGCCCATTGGACCATTCATAACCCCTGCTTACCGTATGCCACATATCAAGTAGTCTAAGACACTCGAGTAGAACTGATTGATTGAAGTTTCTGAACTCAAAATTAATGGAACCAACTTCAGTATGGAGCAGGTTGATCTCAGGACTGATTCAAGTGGTTATTTATTAAAATTTGTAATAATTACACATACACGGGCCAAAGGAAAACGAACCGTTCCGTTTTGATAACCCCAAATCATTAGATGTTCTATTTCTGCAAAAGGAAAACCCTGCAGAATTGCCTAATGGAATTCAAACCCTCGACTGATCATGGCTTAAAGTTGAGTCTCTTACCATCGTGTTCGTTTCTGCATATCAAGACCTTGTCAAGATGGCCATAGATTCCCATTCCAAGCTAAATATGACATCCTGCATGGAATTATTGAATTTTAACTGTTGTAAGGAACTCACTGTTTATACTTCAGGAGTAAAAAATTAGTGAGATTGCTATGTACCGAGGGGTTCTGCTTATCAATGTCAAAGCTGTTAATTGCACAGGGCTCGGCTAGCAGCTCCAAGGGTTCTTCACCTATGCAGTTGGTATATTATTATATACGTCGGTTATGAGATCTTTTGATGCAAGTCTTAACCTAAACCATTGTTCTGCCCAAAGTACATATATCACATTTCAATAATAGTTTTTGCTTAAAGAACTGCTTACCTTGTCCAATAACCGCGAGGATCCCATCTTCCGAGCAGATCATAATAGGTAGAATCCGTGCGGAAGAGATGTTGCTGATGTTGGAAGACCTTGTGTAGCGATCATACTGAACTTCCCAAACTTCACTTTCAGATAACAAAGAAATGGGAGCCTCACCTGTCCCAGCACCCGAAAGGACAATAGGCTGTTGTAATAAACACGAATTTCAATTCAACAAAACACAAAATCTTAAAGCTTTTTCCCAACATTGTTTTAATGGTGGAAAACTGATCTGATTTAGATCTCTGGTGAAGAAAAGGTTATAATTAGGTAATACACAAAGTCACAGAATGAATCATCAAGAGCATCTCGGGACATCGTTACATTAAGTTTACCCTTATTATAATTATCCAGAGATGGGCAGCAAAACCGAAACAAAATATGACCAAATTGTTTTTCACTTTCTGGGTCTCTGAAAATCTGACATTTCCTCAGACATTCTGACTCATCCTGTTGTCTATTATGATAGTCTACTTCTCGGGCTTTGCTTTGATATTGCCACTTAACATCCCATCACCGTACACGTGGCTATTCATCTTGATTAACAATAACACATCTCCCTCCCCCACCTATATCAATCGGGCAAAAAATAATTTTCAAAATAGGTAAATATTACGTGACAGGCGTCGTGAACATAATGCGTCTTTATTATTGTTTATTAAATTAAAACGTTAAGACTTTCAAAATAAAAAGATGAGAGACAATGTAGTTGTTGCATCTTTACGTAAACACATGATATTCTCGACCCGAAAAAAATTCTCAAACCCGAACCCGACCTGATATTATTCAACTCGACCTAAATTTGATCGGATTTTAGGTTTCCGGTCGAGTTCGGGTCATACTACCATCCCTAATCATAGATACGTGAAGTTGGGGTGCACTTTTTTCTTTCTTTCTTTCTATTTAAACTTGTTCAAACCTTCGTAGAGCCGAACGGCTAAACAACCCTGCTGGTAGGGCATTGGTCCCAGAAAGGAGGGATCCGAGAGTAGGAGTGAGCGTTCGATTAAGTTAAGTCGAGTAAAAAAATTTCGTGTTGATGAGTCTTATTGTATAAATCGAAGTTGACTTGAAATTTTTTCGAGTCGAGTCTAGTCGATTTTTTGAGTTTTTGTTTAATTTTAATTGTAAATATTTTTAATATTAATGGCTTTCTATAACCATATATACAATACAAATATATTTCTTCGTATTTTTTCATATATGATATACACATATCATATAAAGTCGAAGAATTAGACTCAAACTTTAAAATAAATCCACTAATTACTGAAAATTTTGAGTTATTCAAGTTGTATTTTACAACTCTATTTGAACTTGAAATTTTGTTGAGTCGAGTCGAGTCGAGTCGAGTTTATGAAATTATACCTTGAAGTCAATTCGAATCGAGTCAAAAAAAATAATTTTTCTCGAGGCTGATTTTTACTCACCCGAATGGGCTAGTCCCACAATAAAAAAGTAGATGTAAGTAGGCATTGTTGACCGGAGGGTTGGGGTCCCAAAGACAGAGACCGGAGTGGATGTAGGTTCATGTGGGTTTAGCCACTTACACTCCCTAGAACCCCTAAAAACTGATATCACTTTCTAAGCCGATAAGCCATAACCACTGTTGGGTGGTGGGGAGTAGGGTTGGCCGTCTCCATAAATCTCAACTCGGCTTTGCTGTTGCTTTGATCATTACAGTCGGAATGAAAACCCAAATAAAAAATTGGGTAAACTATACATTATCTAAATTATCAGTGTTGTATTTAATTTTTTTTATTTTTAAAACTATTTTTAGGGTTCAATTTTCGTTCCATTTTAATACTTCACGTTAAAAATTTAATGTACGGCTGGCGACATGTAGTTTCGGTGGACGGACGTTCAATCCAAACAGTGAACTATGAGAGAATGATGAGTCGATCAACATAATCTAGTTTCAAGCCTATCAAACGGTTAACAACAAAGATCATAAGATAAAAAAAACTGAATAGTCCATCGTTGATTTAGAGAGATTGAAGCGTTTTACGGTGAAACGAAAGTCGAAATCACCTTCAAGGGTAAAAAAAGTACAGACTGGAAAGTTTGAGCTTCATCGACTGATGGATAAAACGGTCAATGATTGTAGATGTGACGACCGACGAACTCGTTCGTTAACGACGAGTACTAAAATAAAACAAAAATTAAATATTATGTATTATTTAAAAAAATGAAATTTTAGATATTAAAACATACCAAAATTAAGGGTAATGATCTATAACATTATCAGTCCATTAAGTTTAAGTATCTCTGTCATTAACCCTAAATGAATATGTGACATAATTGAATGACTAAAATCGAACAGGAGTTAACGGTTACGGAATTAAAATCAAACGGATCGATAATGTTAAGGACTAAAATTGTACAGATTGATAACATTAGGGACCATGTATCTTAATTTTTAAATCGAACCAAAGTTTTTCGGACTGAAAATAAAGAACACTATTCACATAATTTACCTTTTTAAAGTTTATTAAGAAAAAATAAGATTATATTTAAGAGGTATGTTTATAACACAAAATATGGGGGGTAAGGAAGGGATTTTGGGGAATGATAGAGGGCAGGCAAGGAAACAACAAAAGGGCAAAGGTTGCTTTCGCAAATCTAGCTAATCTGGGGCAAGTAAAGTGAAGCTTTGGGGTTGAAGCAAGCAGCTGATGCTGAGTTGTAGTGAACGCAAAGCCATCTTCTTTATTTTGCCTACTTGGCCTCATTATGTTTTGAGTGTACATATACATTTATGCAATCAACCTCATTTCTTCTTCCTCTTCCTTAAAAACGCTGTCTTTCTTCTTGTTCGCCCTTTTCTTTCTAAGTTAGGACAACGAAACCCCGTCCGAGGAAAGCAGAAGAAAATAGCAAAACGTATAGACAACAACCTCATGTGTTTTATTTTATGTTTTTTACGTCTTCTTTTTCATTTTTGAACTGTCCGGCTAGTTTCTTTTGCTGCTTTTTCTTTTCACTGTGTTTTCTTTTGTGTTATAACGGTGATATAGGCTTGTGGTGGTGAGGGGGCGGAAGCTCTCTTCAAGACCGGCGGAATATGGTGAAAATTGAAGCAAGATTGAGCTTTTCCGTGGAAATTTATGTGAAGCAAATGGGTTCCGGATGCTCATATGAAGAAGCAGGGGGAAACTATAAATGGGACATCGTTTTCTTCAAACTCCCATCTTTGCAGCGACTTCTGTTCTTCTTCTTCTTCTTCAGCCTCCGCTGATGGGAGATGGTGGGTGTGGCGGCGGAGGCGGTGATATTGGCGGGATCGGCTCAATCTCTTACATTGTTCATTTATGAATACACTATAAAAATTTTGTTGCCCTTTTTTACTGCTTAGGGCTTACATTGTTGCTCCATGATGTTGGTAAAAAGGAATGGGTATGTTGCTTCTCTCTTTTATGATATTTTCCACACTATTCTTTTGGCTTTAGTTAGTGTTTGTGCTTTGGTTCATGCAAAATAAAAATCATTACAAGGGAGGTTAAAAATGAAGGAGTAAATAAGTAATTATGAGGTAATTTTTTGGAGGTCCCATTCAACAATGAGAACTTCAATTTTTGGTTGTAATTTATTGTGCACCTCCTGGGGAAATGTGTTGGTATTTATTTATTACTGTCTTGCACCCATTTCTGCAATGAATTTGTAATTTTCTCCTGCATTTACTCTATAGTGAGCACTCTAATGCTCAATGGAATTGCTGGCCTAGAGGACACCTAGACTTGGCTGTTCAATGGAAGTAGATTCTAAAGTTTAGGCGGTACATTTCAAAAATAGGTTTGATAATTTTAAGAAACAGGAGAAAAAAACAGGGGGAGAGACAAGAGAGCTGAAGTTATGAGTGGCGATGACGATGATGGATGGGGTTTGGGATTCATGCAAGTGTCCTATCATCCTACACAGATCTGCAAATGTTGGGGTTTGCTTCCTTTTTCGTTTTTTGGTATGCACGTGAATCTGGGCTGTGTCTTTTTTGCTCATGTTTAGGTTAGATTAGGCTTGTTTTATCTCATTATTTAAAGCATCTATTATTTGATATTCGACTCAAAAATTTTAAAATTTATCATGTAACTCAAAAATATAATACGTTAGGAGTTTGTTTTTTAAAAAAATTATTGATAATATTAACATTTGCGTTGATATTTTAAAAATATATAATATAAGATTTTTATGTATTTAGGGTTTATCTTCGAGTTTGAGGTTTAATTCATAGTTTTAAGTTTGAGTCGATCTTGAAAATTTTAGACTCACGGATTTTCAAGTTGAGTCGAGTTCCATTTTTTAATTTTTGAGTCGAGTTAAACTCAACAATACTCGAGTTTCACTCAACTCGTTTACGCCCTAGATGTGATTAAATCATAATGTTTACAATTATGGAGATTTATTAATTTGTCTGTGTGAGATGGGTTCATGTTTTTTTTTAAAGTTTCAACATCCAAGCATATATTTAGTTTTTCTTCCTACTCGTGTACATATTTCGTGCTCATTTACGTTTTTGGATAATACTTCTTTCCATTTTTATGTACTCCATGCATAATGCTTAATATAACATAATTCTTTCTTTAATTTCAGTCAAATAAATAGTTAAAATTATAAAAACAAATAAATTTGACTCAGCACTGAGTCAGGTGGCTGTCCAAGTCAAAAAAACAGAGTGTGGCACATGTCAGCAAATTTATGATCTTGTCTTATGGGGGTTAGCTGAAGACAGATTTTTAGCAAAGAAATGATTCAATTTCCAAACAGTGATTCGGTGAGTCAAATTTTGCATGCGGAATGGTGATGCAAACAAACCCAGTACTGAGCGGGCCACTTGGTTGTAGGTAAAATGTTGTCTTTGTTTGTTTGTTAGCCTGAACCAGCCGTGCTGTCTTATTTATTTCTCTCGACCACTTCTGCTTGATGTGGTCATGTTTTCCATTACAGCTCGGTTACTGTGTTTACAAGTTTTGTTTATGAAGCCGGCCAAATTTGGAAGCCTAAACCTACTGCTGGGTAGGTGGAACGCAAGCATTTAAGAGATGAGTGGTAATTAATGAAGAGGGACCCCTCGTGTACCTTTTGAACCGGTGGGATGGGATGAAGATCTATATGCTGTTTCTTCTTCATTCAATCGGCGTCGTCACCAATGGTACTTTCGGGACCTTAAGATATAAATTACCCCTGCCGTCTGTAGATTAAAGACGGTTGGATTGAATAGATTATTCGGATAATTCTACCTTACGACAGTCTAATTTAAAGTTAACCATACGTGTTGTAAGTTTTTCTCCGTATTCATATCAACCCTTTTTAACATTTAAGATTCATTTAAATCAGACATTATATTCGTGATTAATGTTTAAGATATTGACAGATTGAAAAATGTGTATTGCCGACAAGAATAGAAACACAAGACATTTGATTCTCGTATTCATGCTCGTATCTTTCACCTCTTTTAAACATGATATTCTCTCTCAATTTTATATCGTCTTCATCATAGGTGTCATCATTATGGTTGTTCACCATGTTTATCTCACTCAATAAGATGTCATGAAATCGAATAATTAAAAGATTGTTTTGATATTACGAATCATTACTCTTTTCTCAAAAGACATATCAAAAAGGACGTATAGTGTCAACATTTATAAATTTCATTATCTTTTTCTCAAAAGACATACTAGATAGAATGTATAGTGTCAACAAGTCGAGCTAGAGTATTGATGAGTTCCACTCGATTCAAAAATTTTAAAACAAAACTTGACTCAACTCAAACTCATGAACCTAAAATTTTCAAACTCGGCTCGAACTTAAAACCATGAATTGAAGCTTGTAAAAGCTCAAAATGAAAAAAAAAATCTTAAATCGATTGAGGCTTCAAACTCGAACGTGAACCTTAAATACATAAAAACTTTATACTATATTTTTAAAAAAATCAACACATAAATGTTAATGTTTTTGAGTTGCACACGAGTTTTTTTGAGTTGAGTATAAAATAGTTTGTTTCAAATCCATTCGAGTCGAGTATTTATCGAGTTTTGACTAAATCGATCTCGAATAGCTTACGATCTATCTCATCTAATTTAGAGCCCTATTTGTACATAAGATGAACAAAGTGTCTCAACAAATTTCAAACAGTGTATAAACCAAATTTAAATCTATTGCAGTCTAACAAAATTTTCAATTCATCGACAACAAAAGAAATTCAACAAAATAACCCTTAAATAGAAGAAATAGAACAGATGACAAATTTCGGTGTCCCGTTTCACTACAGGTATTCACAGTTCTCTGGCTAAAGCTAAAACTCAGTATAGTACAAATACCTACTTCACAGTTCACATTACCCAATTACCACAACAACAGGCAGCAGCATTTCACAGTTCAAACAGGATTAGCACATAATGAAGACGTAAACCGGAAGAGTGACGCTTAGATTGCCAGAATGAAGGGTGCTAAAGCATCAAATTCATTCTGATCAACATACTATCTGGAATCCACTTAGGTTGAAACTAGTAGCAGGAAACTATCTGATGATGATTTAAATGTTTAACATCCAGTGCTTCAGTCAACAAAATGAAATTTACATTGCAGCAATGAGTGTTTTGACACAATTCCAAAATGGCAAATGCTAAATCACAGCCATGGATTTCCTTGGGGGGGGCACCCTGGCAGTTAGATGTTCAGACTATATCTTGGATGTTTCGAGTTCAAATTCTAGAATGAGCAGGGTGGAATTTATAGGGTGATATACATATAAAAAGTGTAATGGCATAATAACATGTCCGAAAAAGCACCACGGGCATGATTATGCATAGGTGAAATAAAGTTAGCAAGTTCGCATATGTCCCTCTCCCATTCTACACTTCCTATCCTACTAGACATGATTTTTGCGCAAACAACAAGTGAATCCTGAATGTAGTAACATAACACATACATAAAAGTATGTAAGAACAAATCAATCATGAAAAGAAAAACATTAGATGAATTGTCTCCGGATAATTACCATTCAAGTCGAAATATATATATCATTATCAAGTGCCAACAGGGTGAAGTTTTTATCAACCAACATTTCTTAGACATGAAAGTTGAATTGTGCCACTACAAAGGCTCAACTACCCCTGGCAGCTTAAAACTATAATATAATACCATCCCAACGTTTCAAAGATTACAAAGATACGTCTTCAGAAATCCTAGTAACATAACTAACGACAGCAAAATCTCGTAATTACACGACTACCAGAATTTAGCAGAAACCTAGTTCCCAGTTGTTTCATGGATTTCCTTCAAACAAAGATAAGTATATTAAATCACAACCTTAATAAAACACAACTTATCGTTCAAAACTAAAACAAAAATTCAAGTCGATTCCCCTATAGAAAGTTCAGTCCTAAAGGAATTCCTTATGCTCAACTTGGATGCCAGATAATTGATACACAAATAACCTCAAGTTATTCAATGGCACATCCAAACATAGAAATAGAAGCAGCAATAATAATGGAGTAATTGACAACATCACAAAACAACAAATACCCCGATCAAAAAACTCATTAGGGAACAAACCACCAGGCACCAATATCACCTGCATCATTGCTTGACGTTATCCAAGTACCATTTGTAAGTATCGACAAGCCCGTCTTTCAACGAGATCTTGGCATTCCACCCCAATGAAGCAAGCTTCGAGCTATCCATGAGTTTCCTAGGAGTCCCATCAGGCTTAGAAGCATCCCAGACAAGCTCCCCTTCAAAACCAACAACTTCCTTCACCAACTCAGCTAATTCCTTGATGGTAACCTCTTTTCCACTGCCTACATTCACATGGTCCAATCCACTGTAATTCCCCATCAAGAAAACCACAGCATCAGCTAGATCGCTCACGTGCAAGAATTCCCTTAACGGGCTCCCTGTCCCCCAAACAACAACTTCTTTCGCTCCTTCCACTTTGGCCTTATGGAATCTCCTCATCAAAGCGGGTAAGACGTGGGAATTCTCCGGGTGGAAATTATCATTGGGGCCGTACAAATTCGTCGGCATAGCGGAAATAGCATCGAACCCGTGCTGGATTCTGTAAGCTTGGCACATTTTGATCCCCGCGATCTTGGCAATCGCATACCATTCGTTGGTGGGCTCTAGGGGACCGGATAAGAGCGCGTTTTCAGGGATGGGTTGCGGCGCAAATTTGGGATAAATGCAGGAGGATCCGAGGAAGAGGATTTTCTTGACGCCGTGGCGGTAAGAGGAATCGATGACATTGGTCTGGATTTGGAGGTTGATGGAGATAAAATCCGCCGGGTAGGTGTTGTTCGCGTGGATTCCGCCGACTTTAGCGGCTGCTAGTACCACGTACTGAGGCTTCTCAGTGGCGAAGAAGGATTCGACGTCGGCCTGGCGGGTGAGGTCTAGATCGGCGTGGGTGCGTACAACAATGTTGGTGAAGTCCAGAGATTGGAGTTTGCGGACTATGGCTGAACCAACCAGCCCTCGGTGGCCTGCTACGAAGATCTTCGCAGATTTGTTCGAGAAGAAAGAATCTACGGGGAAGAACATACATGACAAAAGAAAACAGAGTTAGAATCAAGTAGAGATCTTTTGAGGGATCTCATCAAGAAAGAAGAAGAAGAGGGAATTACCGGTTTCACCCATTGCTGGAGACTCGCGGAAGTGAAGATTCGGAGTGAAGTAAAGAAGATTGTTTTTTCAACACCCAGATATCACAATCTTTGCGAGAAATTTCGTGTTTTTTGCACCCTTTAAGTATAAAATAAGTGATTAAATTAGAGCTATTTTCACGGATAAATGATTACAATATTTTTTTATTTATCTAAATACTAACATTATAAATGTTATTATTTAGCTGTTTAGCCGTCAACGATATTAATTTTTTCGTTACGTAATATATTTCACAATTGATAGTTTTAAATTTTTTGTATAAAATTTAAAAATAAAAGTATATATATTTAAAAATAAAACATAGAACTTTAGAAATAAACGTAAAATTTTGAAAATCTTTATTTTAATCTCTAAATCTACGTCGACCACCACCCTTTCTTGTAAACGAAGCTCTATCAAGCATCACCTCTCCTGACGATCAAAACTCTTATGAAATTGTGATCGATCGACGGTCAATTGATGATAAATCAATATTTTATATCCCTTGAACCTTAGGTTGAAAATCGCGTTCTCATACGATTATTACGACCAATCGACAATAAATACGACGACATATAACTAGGAGGATGACAATGATTATGTCGTCGGAGGTGGTCGTGGCCGGAAAATTGAAACGATGGTGTTTCGGTTGAGCAACAACCTAGTGGGCATCCTCAACTTGATCACGTTCATCCTCTCGATCCCCATCCTCGGCGCCGGCATCTGAGTAGGGAAGGCGTTATCGAGTGCGAACGGTTCTTGGACTGGCCCGTCATCGTGATCGGGGTCTTCCTCATGCTGGTCTCCCTCGCCGGACTGATCGGCGCGTGCTGTCGCGTGACGTGGCTTCTCTGGCTCTATCTGGTCGTCATGTCCCTCCTCATCGTGCTGGGGATCGTCTTCACGATCTTTGCTTTCGCGGTGACGAATAAAGGGGCGGGACAAGCGTTGTCCGAGAGAGGTTATAAGGAATATCGACTCGGGGATTACTCCGACTGGTTACAGAAAAGAGTTACTGATCGGAAGAACTGGAATAAGATTAATAGCTGTTTAGCTGACAGTAAAGTTTGCACTGATTTCCATGATAAATATCTCAACACCTCTCTCACGGAGTTTTACCAGGCTCACTTGTCAGCCATTCAGGTATCTAAATTCTCTGAAATCTGAGCTTTCTTCTTCTTCTTCTTAATATAAAAATTGAATCAAAGATATATTACAATTCATACAAAGCTTTATTCTTAAAGGGATCTATTATGAATACTTTTTGTAATCTATTTATGTTGATTCTAACTTTAGGAGCAAAAAGGTTCTCAACTTTTCTAAAGTGCATATTCATATAAAGATTAGCCGAGTGTTTTTGTCACAAATTTCACGTAATTTCTTCGTTTTTGTTTTGTGGAATTGCACAGTCTGGTTGCTGCAAGCCATCGGACGACTGTCAGTTCCAATACGTCGGGCCGACTAACTGGACAAGAGGGGATGGGGCGCCGGCTAATCCAGACTGCAACCTGTGGGACAATAACCTGAAGACTCTATGCTTCAAATGCCAGTCACGCAAAGCTGGGTTCATAGACAACCTCAAGAGTTCATGGAAGAAGGTGGCGGTTGTCAACATCGTCTTCCTCATCTTCCTCATTGTTGTCTACTCCGTTGGCTGCTGTGCTTTCAGGAACAACATCAGAGACAAGCTTGACCCCTCTTTCTCTTCTTCTTAGCCTTCTGGGTTTAGTTTGTTTGGGTTTTGATCTTGTTTTTATGATTGCATTTGGACCTTTAATTGTATAGTTTTTTATTTGCTTGTCTAGTTGTTCACAATTTAGATCGTTCATATATGTGTATAAAAGCTGCAGATATTTGTTCTATAATTGATGTTGAAAACTTTCATGTTTCATATATTGAATGTATACATACTAAGGTGGTTGGGAAATAAAAGCCGGATCTGGGTCTGGGCCTCGGGTCACCTAAATTCGGTTTGTTGATAATACTTAAATTATTAGTTTTGGTCTATTTTAATATTTAAATTTTTAATTTTTTTTTGAAGTTTAATATTAAATTATGAACGGAATACTAAAATGAAATAAAAATTAAACTTTTAAGTATGATTTTAAAAGAATTAAAAGTTTAGATATTAAAACAGAACAAAAATTTAGGTACCAAACTTATAATTTACCCTTCATTTTAGTATCCAATTGCTCTAATGGAAGAAACCTTGCACCCCAAATTGGATGGGAGTTTCACTTGGATTTGGGTCCAAAAAATTTAAGATGATTTAGAATGAATGGAATCCACAAAATTTCACCTTTCAATCTACAGTATTGAACTGGTTTACAAAATCTGTGGGTCCAAATGAGATTCGACCCGAACCAGGTTTATGCATTATTTTCAGTCGTGTTAGTAGACTCGTCAGACAAAAGTGGTTCCTCGATCGGATCTGTTTCTTTCACTTGGTAATCTTCGGCTTTTCCCCAGAGAACAATATATAAACCGCCGATCACGCCGACGGCACCTATCAGGCTGTATTAATGAAACACAGACAAAAACAAAATCGCATGACGAAATTTTATATCATATTAGAAGGATGAATTCTTGGGTCTCTTATGCTCGTCGAGATGTTACCTGCCCGTGTAAATTTCCTCACGCAAGAGCGGGGCAGCCAGTATGGTCACAATGACTGTACACAAAGGATTAAACATGGCGGAAAACAGGGGTCCCCTTTGCGCTATGCACCAAGCTTGAACGAAGAATGAGAGCCCCGATCCGAATATTCCCTATACAGATCATGTGCCTCAAGTTAGTATACTGAAAAAGAGTTCGCTTTTTTTTTTTTTGGTTACATACTACAACGAGACAACAAACAAGCTCAAAACTGGAATGGAGGGTCCAGGTTTCGATGTCTGGTTCTAAAAACAGTGTGACAACTGCCGACTGCAATGCCCCGAAGAAGCACATCCAGGCCGACAAGGAAACGTGGTCGGGGTAGCTGGCTGAAGCCGGGACCTGTCGGCAAACATGTAATGATGTTATCAGTGACTGAAACGTTAGACAAGTGGAGACGAGTATTGGATCCAAGTACCTGCAAAATGAGCCAAATGGACCAGCAACAAGCACTTCCGAAGAGAAACAAACAACCCAGCAACCAGTGCTCACCGCCGTCCGCTCCAAATAATGATTTATCCGGTAAAGCTTCTGCACTCAATAGCTTTTGTCCCTTCAGCAGCGCCATGAAAATGGCTCCGGTGACGCAGATCAACGTGCCGACTATTTTGCCAATACTTCTCAAGCTTCGAATATTCACCTTTTCTAACCTATAGACAAATGGTGAATAAACGGTCTTCATGTATAACATATATACCATTAATTATGACGTACCCGACAAGGGAAGCCATAACAAAAGTGATGGCCGGGACTAGATTTGCCATTGCACTTGCCGTCGCAGAAGTGGCCAAGTACAGACCCTCATAATATATATTCTGATTGATTGCGATCCTGTATAAAGAGTCTGAGTACCTTAAGAAAATGGACAGGCAGACTCAAAAGATATACAGATGAAAGAAAAAAGAAGAAGAAAGTACCCTATAAGTGAGGCCAAGAATATCAAAGAAAAGCTCCTCAGTCCCATTGAAGGTCCGCCTGATTTCCTCCTGGAGAGATAAGCGACGGGTGCCACGGCCAAAGTAGCGAAGGCTTGCCGGTAAACGACGAGGACACGGGGGCTCATGCCTTGCAACATAGCTGCTCGGGTGAGGAGTGCCACGGCTGCATAACCCATCTGTAATCCCACCATAGCCATTGCATGCTTGTAATCTCCGCACCCACCCATCTCTTCCGATTCTAAACAGCGATTATACTAGGTTAAAAGGACAGCTATATATATATATGGAACTATATGACAATACATACCTTATGAACGTATTTGATATTTTCATACTTATCAGCTCAAAGGGCGTTTCAAAATTTGAACTTTTTGTATTTTTAAACGAGCTTACGTGAAGCATTTTTATTCTATATTAATATTAATCACGTAAGAATCTAGGTAACCTTGTTCTGTACAATAATTAATTTTTTCATATGCCAATAGTTGGTCTAATGGGTTGAGGTATTAGTCTACTAGATTATTTAAGCAAGTTCTAGGTTCAAATCCTGAAAATTACAAATAGAATAAACTGGGTTAGAAAAATCGTCCTTACCTCTGTAGTATTTAATCTAAATTAATCGATCAATATATGTTAATAGTTATAAAAAGAATTAATTTGTTGATATTATCAAAAGTTAATGTTATTGTTAATAATCTGTCCGTATTATAAAAAGTTGATGTTTATAATATTGATGAACTAGAAAAATAAAGGATTATTGACTTTACTATTAATTATTTGATAATAATAATTAAAATATATAATTGAAATAGTTGAATCTAATCTATCTAAAAAATATAAAATAACGATTTCAAAAATACATAAGAAATTAAAATTCTTTTGATTAAGTTGATATGTAAAGATTTTTATAAATAATACTTTTATTTTATTTTCAGTAGTTTTACATGATGAATAGTTATAGAGATAATATTATTTATCAGTCTAAAGATATTACAAAATAATATATGTTTAAATTAGTTTAATTTTTAATAATTAATATATCCGCAAACACAATTACTTAAATTCAAGAAGTCTAAATAGTATTAAGATAATATTAGTGCACACTAAAAAGATTTAAAAAAATCACATAAAAAAGTTAATGTTAATATTAGGGTTGGTTGACTATATAATTAGGTTGGTAGTGGGTCCAAAAAAAAAAGAATAGTATGAATCAAATTATTTTACTCGATAGCTCTTATCTTTAGAGGTTATGAGTTTAAATATTTGCATGATATTTGAACATTTATTGTTAAATAATTGAAAGTTCCTAAAATATATATACATTATCACTCGTAATCACTCTAGATTAATAAAAGTATAAAATAATAATTTTAATAAATAAATAATAACTAAATTCTTTTGATTAAGTTGATACGTAAAGATTTGTTATTTTAGATTTACTTTATTTTTTTTTTTAAATTCATATGCATGATGAATAGTTATCGAGCTAGTATTAACGTATACTAAAAAGTTAAAGATAACACTAAAATATAAAAAGAGTTTTCTGGGGTTTTTTATTATTATATTGTAATAATAATTTGGTATGGTAAAATCAACAAAATAAAAAATAAAATAAACAAACATCTTGGATATGAACCAAAACATGCTGACAAACCAAAGCGAAGCCCTTGCAGGTGATGTTTGCATGTGCCATGTTGACCTGACAAGGATGCAACGTGGATTTGCATGTGATCTTTGTTGGCTGTGAGTGGACTCATGTCATGCTCCTGCCTAGCCCTCTGCTGGAGATTTGATAACGGATGAATAACGTGTTTAGTACTTCAATCATCAATGTTGATTTGTTTTAGGGTTTAGGGTTTTTATTTCATTTTAATACTCTTATTTAAAATTTAATGCTAAATTTTTAAAAATTAAAGTTTAGGTGTCAAAATAGACCAAAACCGACAATTTAGGTATTAAACGAGTTAAGTTTTTAACGGTAGGTACTAAAATGAAATAAAAACTTAACGTTATGTATGATTTAAAAAAATTTGAAAGTTTAGATACTAAAACGAATGAAAACCGATAGTTTATATATTAAATACGTAGTTTACCCTTTGATAATCCATAATATTATTAATATTATATGAATTATAACGTTTAAATTAATTATAACTTTTAAACTAAATATCATTATATTTAAATATATTCAAACATATACTCTTTTAAATATTATAATAGTTAAATTAATATTTTTCTTAAAATTATAAAAATAATTAAATTAATAAAAGTAATACTTAATCAATAATATAATAATTGTTTTTATTACTATATTAAAAAAATACAATGAGTATTATTAAGTAGAAAGTAGAATGGAAATAGAATAGTTCATCCTCGTTGAAATCGGCGAGTACTTGCTCTTGGGTTTTGTTAATACCAACGTTCTTAGAGAGGATTATATTAAGGTGATGCTAACACACATTATTTTTATTTTAATTATGTAATGTAACTCATTTCTTAGTAAAAAAATCAATTAATTATTATAAAATTTGTTGCTAAAACACTTTTTTTAAAAAAATTTTTATTGTCCTCCTTATTCAAGAATTTATCCTGATTAATTTGGATCGGCTGTGTTATATACTTGATTTTGGTGGGTGAGTTTCTTAGTAGAGATTTTTTGCATATATAAAGACTCGGACCTAATACTTTACTTAAGCGGATCAAACTGCTTACCACTCAAATTAATCATATAGTTTAAGATTTAAACGGATCAAACTGTTTACCACTCAAACTAACTCGGTATCATAAGGTTCATGCTGGTCTATAAAAAAACCATTACTCCTTGCCTTTATATAAAAAAATGTTAGTCTGTTTTACTATTTTTTTGTTTTATTTGGTACTATCTTACTTTTTAAAGGCTAGGATCACATGGTTTTGGATCAAATCTGGATTCTGTACCTCCAACCTCCATGCTTAGTTGTATTACATTTATCACATAATTGGTGGTAGCTGAACAGAAATTTGACCGGGAAATTTTCTAAAAAATGTGATACTAATTTTATTATTATTTAAATAACAAAGTCGGTAAAAAATGACCAAAAATATTATTAAACGCTATCGGTTTTGTTATTATTGGGTGTTTTATCGGATTTGGTAAAAATGACTAGAAACATTATTAGAAGCTACTGATTTTATTATTGTTTGGTACTTTTAACGGCAATGTTTTAAAAAATGATTATTTAGATAAAAATAATATTTTTGATCATTTTTACCGATTTTATTATTTAAACAATAACAAAATCGATAACGTCTTTTTTTAACCTTATATTAAGGTGACGCACTGTTGAACTTCCCAATTTAACCACTATTAATCACAAGTAAAATTGGATAATAAAATTATATCTTTTTTAGAACTAATAAATTTAAATAAAAGAATATTATTTGAGCAAATTCAAGCGTGAGTCACATTATAACATTTGTCGTAGATCTTAAATTAATTTTGGAAACGATCTAATGGATCCATTTTTTACCCGTCGGACCTGTTGAGTCAATTTTGCCCTAATCACATGCTTTATGCTTATCTTTCCACTAATATTATATATATATATATTCACTTTTTTATAATAAATGATTACAATGTAGTATTTGTTTATATATATATATATATATATGGTATAATATTACATAATTATAATTTATAAAGTTCTAAAACTATTTGAATTTATATTAAAAAAAATTGGGACTCGGTTTCGAGTATCATAGATACCAAGGGTTTGGACATTCAATGTTGAAAGGTTTAGAGTCATCTTTGATAAAAAAAAGTCATTTAGTTTAAACTAATTCGAAATTGATTAAATCCAAGTCTAGAAAAATTTAAAGGTAAATAACACAAATGGTTCCTTGACTATAGGATACTATATTATTGAGTCTCTTGACTATTAAAAGTTACAAAATGACCGCTTGACTATAGAGAGTTGTTTTGTTGAGTCTCTTAACAATTAAAAGTTACAAAATGACCACTCGACTTTCATTATGTATCAAACTCGTCATTTTATGTTAAAAAAGTTAACGATCATCTAAGTTTTACGGAAACATCATGACTGAGATTTAATAGTCATTTGAGATTATGATATCATATTTTATTATATCTCATTCAACATGTTAACGTGCAACTCAGATTATCGTCAATTTTTTAACGGAAATGGACGAGTTAGAACATAATAAATAGTCGAGTGACCAATTTATATATTTTAATATTTAAGAGACTCAACAAAGTAACTCCCTATGGTTAGAGGATAATTTTATAATTTTAATATTTAAGAGACTCAACAAAGTAACTCCCTATAGTTAGAGGATAATTTTGTAATTTTAATAGTTAAGGGACTTAATGAAGCAAAATCATATAGGCAGGGGACCATTTATGTACATTTCCCAAAATCTAAATTGCAAATAGTATAAATATAAAAACAACCCTTCCATTAAATTCGAACACCACCCATTTGACAATCTCTAGTTCTAGGTGGACAGTTGTAGGGTGACAATCAATTAGACAGAGTTATACCAATGAATTGGTATTGGGGCTTAATCATCATCAACCTATGGTTATTTTTGTAGAACCAGCACAGAATTGTTGCCACCAAAATCAGCAGATGAAAGTAGGTCCCCTATAATTCCAATCTCTTGAAATTCAGTCCATTCATGGAGGCCGGCGGTCTGGGATCTTCACAGTTGTATCGTCTTCCCACAATGAAAACTGGTAATTATCCACAATGGATCGAAGAAATTCTAAAGTTTCAGGCCCATCATTTACCTGCTTCTCAATGTTTATTATGTATGAACAACGTTCTTTAACATTTCTCACTCATCCTGCATTGTCTCGGTAACATCAGCCAGATGAATCCTGTTTCCAGCCGTGAGTTGAATTACTGTTAGTTGAACGTTTTCGTTTTCGGACATGCTTATGCCTAAAGCAAGAGGCTCCTGATCATCTTTACCCCCAAGAATATCATAGCGATGTTATATGATGGAGAGCTGTCAAACGAGTACGACTGTACAGAGTTGGAGCGGTTTAAATGGCGTCGACCTTCGACCAGGATCCCGATCGAGCACGGTGCCTTTCTGAGCATGCTGTAGTTCAGGCTCCTTATGGTTTGGTCTTCCGATTCGATGCTGCCATCGAAGTGCCATTAGCGGTGAAATGGAAGCACTATAAAGGATGTATGGTGGTCCAGGGCGAGGTTACATATATCCTCATGC